TATTTTCTCGCAGGTTCAAACCTGTATGGGCCACTTTGTCCCTGGCACTGTAAAACAAAATCGTGACATCTCTCGTTGTCATCATATTCCTCGATCTCATAACTCTCGTCAGACGATAAGATAGATTCCGTGTCGCTTTCCGAGCACTGCATGCGTATAGCGGCCATTGTGAAACGATGACAAGTTCCCCCCGTGACGTCACAAATCACCCTTGCATGCTAATTAGGTTCTCTAGCTGAAGCCTCGTTCTGAGTCGGCCAAGAAATTGGACGTGGGCGTTTCCTTATCCAGAACATTATTATTGCTCGTTTATTTAATTTATGTACATTTTTCACTTGTTTTTTTTTCATAATGTTGTTTATAAATAAATTTTGCACACAAAGAAAGTCAATTGTCCCAATTCAGTTACACTTTAATATTTTATTCAGTCTTAATACTTTAACGAATAATGTCTTAGAATCTTGTTTAATTTTAATTTTTGGGGGCATCTGGGTAAAAGTGGCTCAATTTGACGATTTCAACTATGTCAAATAAAACAACAGACTGAATATAATGTAAAGGGATATATAACAAATCAAATTCAAAGATATTGTGATTTCTCCTTTGCATTTTATTGTTTACTTATTTTAATTCAAATTTTTGGTATTCACCAAAAGCACTTTTTTCAGTTATGGTTGAAATGTGCATTTATTACAATAATAACTGTAATTTCAAAATATAGCATTTTATCAACAATTTACTAATAAAACTGATGATTTGTGATGTCGTGGTATGATTGTGTGGGTACTAGTTTAAGAAAAAATATTCTGTGACAGTATGTTTGGTCATGCCCACATTCACCGTTTTACGGAGACCTGTGATCATTGCCAAGTGGGTTCTGATTCACATATACTATAGAATCTGATGTTTCTATTGTAAGTTGTAAATATAACGATTGTTTGCTTATTGGCGCCAGGTTCAACAATATACAATAGACCCAACATATACATAAATATGGCCGTCGAGATCTCGTTGGGAGCGAGAGCCACGAATCTTGCATTGCCATAGAGTCCACAGTTCCCAAGATTTTCGTAATTATTTGAAATAGTAGATGCGATGGCGGCATTTGTTGGCACAACAATAATGATCGTGCCTTTCTCGCATTCAACGAGATCTCGTCTGCCATTTGCGATTGAGGCCGGATACATAATGTTACAAGATTTAATGAAATTCAATACAAAATTAACCACCCCTGTGTTTACAATAGGCGCTTGATGCAGAAGTATAATATCAATTTCTGACAACAGTGGATATGATGGACTACATAAACTGATGAAAAGTTAAATATCTAGAGAATGAAAAGTGATATAAAATAATTGTAAATTGCATGTTCTTACATTTGTTGTTAGCCTTGACTTTTTCTTTAATTTATTAAAATTGTATTCACGGAAAAACTTAGTCGAAAGCCCTTTCAATAACGTTGCCAAAATTCGGATGTTGCTGTGTTAACATGAGTGTAATAGTCGTCCTTTATAAATTAATTATGTTACATGACTACCACTTGCGCTGGAAATGATAAACATTCATACAATTACCACATCCATTAACAAAGTAGTTCCTGCCGTAATCTTAGAACCCGACTAATTTAAAAATAATAATTTTTTGCCTAGCCTAGCTAATACCTGTGGGTAGGCAGGCTGTGGTTGTGATTTCTCAGTGGTGCAAAACAATTTCCACCATTCTACCAAACTTGGTATGAATATTTTAATGTCTCACGTTGTTTTATTTTGCGGTTTAGTTCGACTGGTTTTCACTTCTTTGCGAATTTGTGAGTTTAATCCACAATTCTAGATAAATGGCTACATATGTCTAGCATATTCGCATATTTTTCCCATTTTCCCAACAGTGATAAGGATATCCAGGCCAACTATCAAGAACCAACAAGTGTCGCTTGAGCATGATATTATACTGTTGCTTCAACCAGTTAAAAAAAAGCTAATTCTTTTTTGACATATACAGATTATACTTGGTATATCTATCTATTCACCTTTTGTGTTTTTCGTATCGGTGAGTCCCTGCCAACATTACACGTTCATAGTAACCAATCTGAAAATAGCATCTCAATAGAACTTGAACTTTAGCTTCAACCGTGGCCAGACTAATAGCAACTGGTCCAACTGTCGCCCAATAGCTTGAGCTAGTATACTGGTTGAAATGACAACTCTAAAGAAGGGGAGGGGAGATGGTATGTACTACAATTCAATTATTTCATTTTGAGTTTATTAATCACATAAACAAACTATGCACTTACGTTTATAATACAGTTATTACAAATTGTGTATAATATATTGAGATATGATAATTATACATAATATTCTCGTGCTAGGGCCAAGCATAAATAGAATAGAATTTCACTTAATACTATATAGGACGGATCGTGAGAAATGTGCCTACCAATGCAAGTTCGGCGGAATATAAACGACTACATCTATGGAAAGAGTTTAGGTAATGAAATGAAATAAAAAATGACGTCACAGGCCACTAGCTGTGTGATACAGTTCCTAAATTCGCATTCATTGAATAAGCATCAACATACATCGGAACCTCAAGTTAAAGTTAATAAAAAAAACAAATAGAAAAAAACAAACATTCTACAAATTATAAAATTGAATTACATGTCCGGGAAAAATAATTCAGAATTTGCTGTTAGAAAACTTAGTTATTAATAGTGTTATATATACTAAATATGTTATGAATCAGTTCTACTTCATATTATTTTTGACACCTTCTAATCGAAGTTTCTCGGCTAGATCAGTGCGCCCACACTTTTTGAGGGCGTCCGCCAGGATAGATACTTTCGGCTCTGACAGCTTTGTTTTGTTTCTCCAAGTTATAAGCAGATCAGAAAACTGGTCTTCGGTATTGTCCGGATGGTCTCGTTGTATTCGTTGTACCTCACCGCGTTGCATGCCAAGATAGTCTCCCAATGCTTCCAGTTCTTTCCCTAACTCTTTTGCCAAGTCGCGCAGTCCATCGTTGCTCAGTGGATCTGTCACATAAAACACGGAATATTTTATATATTACTGTGTGGATATTTGTGTGTATAAATTATTGTTTTACAAGTTGTGCATATTTTGAATTACAGTGTCATTGGTAACGATACAGTATTCGCGTCAATATTATACCAGTAATTAACCTTTAACCCAGGCAATATATACGTGTATAGAGAAGAAAACATTGCGCATGTACAGTTAACTTACATTGGCAATTAATCGCTTCTTTCATTGATTTTTTTTTCCTGAATTCTCGTTCCACCTACACGATAGAAAATAAATTAAAATAATTGGCATGAAATAAAGCACGACTTTCAAATTGTGGCATAATTCCTCTAAAATAATAGATCCTCCAAGTTCTGACAAGTTTCCTTGGCATGATTCCGCCAAATTTTGCAACATTTCAGTTAAATTAATACCAGATCTCAAAATGGTGATATAACAACTATGTGTAAATATAGTTTTGCACTTTTACGGAAAATAGTTATAAACGTTACCTTGGGCAACGAGACTGCTAGTTCCGCCATATGTTTCCAATCATCTTGTATCTCAGAAGGGTCCACATTCACCCGGGATATGTCCGAGTCTTTCTTGTAAAACTCTGCTAATCCCCGGTCAAAATCAGAACTATGGTTCCTGTAAGGATCCGCAGCTTCTAGAAAAAACTCCATACGATTGGAAAATGCTTCGCGGAATATGATTGTTTTGTCTTCGTACGCATTCATCAGTTTGATATTTTCTTTGAACTTCACGCTGACTTCCTGCTCTTCTCTTATCTCAACCTCGTTGCTAGGAAACGGTGGCCCGTCGAAACCTTTTTGCAAGAGCTGCTTCTCGACTTCCTCGCATCTGTGTGCTGGTACAATTTGAACGATGGCTCTGGCTCTGTCTTCATTCAAATGGTGAAGTATGATATTGACAGTTTTCACCAAGCTAGTCATCTCTAGTGATGCCGCGGCTTTGGGCGGTGGCATGGCAGACCCCTCTTTCATCTGTATCGCTAAAACTCTGAAAAAATACGCAACGCAACAAAATGTAACTGCTCTGGTGATGCTATAGTATTTCATGATGTTCACAACAAATTTACGGTCGATTGTAATAACACTTTCGAAATTTACCTGTCATAGCCATCTGATACTTTGGCCTCTATTCCACCACTTTGCCTGTGTCGAAGCTCGGCACCTTTGACTTGTTCCCATGAACTCTGACCATTCCTCCCCATGAATAATACTTCACCGGTATTCCTTGGCTCTTCCTTTTTCTTCTTCTGCTGCCCCTGTCGCTGTTGACTTTTGGCCATACCAAAACCGAATTCATCACTAGAAGCCTTCTCTTCATCTTTCTTTTCTTCTTCATCGTGTGGAACGAGCTGATACACAGGCAAAGTTATTACTAACGTCTTTTTTGCTTTGGCGTCACGCGCATGCGTTATGTGTAGTATTGGCGAAGCTGAGACAATGTACTTCAGGGTATCCCATTTTTGTTTTCTTGCATGTACATGGTGTGTATCTGTGGGAATGACCTGTATGGATAAAAAAATGGGATTAATATGCATATAATATATATTTCAAGAATAAGTGCCAAACAGAAGTATTATAAGATGTTTATATACAGACAGACCACTAGAACGCTATTAGTCATCTTGTAATGTCCAACATTATGCTTGATATTACCTGCAGTGTTACATCAGTAGATGAGAGAAATGTATCTTTCAGATATTTAACGGTTACACGCGGTTCGATGGATGATGTCACAGTACCTCCCCTACGTCCCATTGAGTGGCGATCCCGGACAATTCGTCTCACAACCACGTATGTAGACAGTTTTTCGGCTTTAACCTCAGCAAACGTCAGCCCCTTAATATAATAACATAGACAGCCTATTAATGTTAGGAATATGAACGATGGTGAAAAGAATAATTGTAAATGTGTTTCACTTTTTTCGGATTAACCCCTTGAAGGTGTTTACATATTTGTAATGTTGCTATTGTGCAGTGTCATATTATACGCAATTCAACCACTTAGTCATAATTTAGAGAATACCGAATTGTAGTATTGCATTTAACTTATATCTATTTCACATAAAATATATTGCTATTATGGGTGGTGTATTGTGTTCATCAAGAAAATAGAAGTAACATTAAATCTAATGTTTTTCAACTAGTTAGGGGATGTATTATTCGTGTCAAAATTATTACCCGAATTTCATCAAAATTTCTCTCTGTTGAATTTGTTGCCACCACCTTCCAGTCACCACTTTTGTCTCTCGCTTTAACAACGACCTCGTAGCCGGTGATTCGTACTGTTGGTGTGTATCGTATAGCAATCAGTACAGGCTTCTTCAAAGTTGCATCCTGGGGGTCCAATGAAACAACGTTGCTTAGTAACTCTTCATGCTCTCCAATCACAGTTTTTGTTAGACTCTCGTTCTCCTTGCATACAATTTCCAAGCCTTCCAATACCTCCTCAGGAGCTCGCACAACAGAGAGAACATCTCCATCTGCCGATACATACCTAGAAGCAAATAAGGAAAATACGTCATACGTCGAGTTGATATTGTTGGTCAGTTAGTACGGTTGAATGGTTAGCGTGTTCACCTGCAGTGGTGAGGAGCTACGCCATGTGCGTGATGTTATGTGAATGTTCTTTTGTCTGTACTTATTTACTTATCGTAATTTCAAGTATATTTAACAGTTGAAAAAAAAATACAAAAGTGACATACTTTTTAAAAGTCCAGTGTTTAGGGTTCTTTTTTGTCATGTCCTCAACTGCGTGAACTGATCTTTCCATGGCAGATTTTGCTTTTTCAATAGCTTGTTCGGCAATGCCCGTGCGATTTCTTAGTTTTTCTTCCTTTGTCTTTACTTCTTGCGCTGTTGATTTTTCATTTTTTATAACTGATGTCAAGTCATCAATAGCCCTGTCAATAGATTCAGCTGAACGTGTTGCCTCACTCCCAGCTTTCCTGGTTTCCTGAACTGCCTCTTCTGCTATTTGTATTGCTCGTCTTGCTTCATCTGTGTCTCTTCCACAGTCATCGGCTGCTTGTTGTGTGTCCTTTGTAGACTGTTTAACTTCTTGAACTAACTCACGAGCGTCTCTGGCCACTCTTTTTGCTTCGTCAATTAAAGGAGAGGTCGATTTGGATGCTTCAAGTCTTTCATGTGTTGCAACCCGCTGTCCAATCTCACTGGCATTTGTACGACAATCTTTATTAACCTCTCTTGCTTCTTCAGCTACTGTTGTCATCTCTTCTATGCCTTGTTTAAGATGGGCAATGTCGTCCTTTATTTTCTGTAATTGATCTGCTCCAGCCATAGATGTCTCCAACATTGATGTCCTGCCTTCTATGTCAGTCACCAGCCTTTGCAATGTTTCAGCATTTCCTTTTGCCTTTGTTCCAGTAACTTTGATTCCTTCAACCATGGTTTCACTATCTTCCATATCTGATGTCACCCTGGAAGCAATTTCCTGAGCTTCAGTCGAAATGGAATTGGATTCTTCCAGGTCTTTATAGGCAAGCTGTAGAAAATCTTTGGCTGTTCGTAGAGTTTCATTACCAAGTATTCTTGTTCTCCCAGTGTCTATGTGGTTTATAATTTGTGTTGCTGATGATTTGGCTTTCACTTCATTCTGTGTTGCTTTCGTTATTTTTGCTCTTGTATCCTCTATACATTTCCCTGTTTTTGCTGCAAATTTATTTATGTCATCTACTGAGTGGTTAGTTTTATATCTTTCTTCTACGTCTTGTGCAGCATCTGTAGTTTTCTCGACAGATTTTTCGGCTTCCTCCAAGATTGCTGCTGCTTCTTTGTGATTTGTTTCTGCATCTACTAAAATGGATTCACAATCAAGATCGGCACTTTTTGTTCCACCAACTGTTTCGGTGTTTTTCTTTGACATCTCTGATTTATCTACATTCTCCTCGCCCACCATCTCCTTAGCTTTTGAAATTGCCTGTGTTGCATCTTCATCCAGCTGTCGGAGTTCAGCAATAAGAGATTGGGCTTCATCTGCAAATGACTTGCTTGTTGCAACAGCTGCCTGTTTCTCAATCAGTATTTTAGCTCGTTCTCCAATTTCAGCTGCTTTTGCCGAAAGTCTTTTACAACTTTCTGCAGATTCTTTAGCTTCTCTGATAATATCTTTAGTTTCTGCAGTAACCCTTGCCACATCTTCCGACTCCCCTCCTTCTGTTTTTAGTTTTTCTATTTCTTCTGACTGTATTTCGGCCTTCTCTGCTGCTTTTGTCACATTTTCTGAAACTTGTTTCAGTTCTTCTATAAGTGATCTTAAACTGTCTTCAACCGTCACAGCTTCTTCAATATCTCGCTTGATATCATCTGCTAATCTTTCTGAATCAGTAACAGAAGTATTCGCCACCTCTGCATCTTTCCGTACTGCTTTTGCAACACTTTTAGCTTCTTTTGCCGTTTTCCATGCCTTATCCCGAGCTTTTTCTTCTTCTACAATCTCGACTACCTTAGATCCTGCCCTTTTTGCTGTCTTGGCGTATGTTTTTGCTTCTTCTGACGATTCATTTGCTTTTTCAAAGTGTTGTTGTATCTGATCTTCGGATTGTTTGACTGTATCAACAGGAATATTTTTCTTTGCACTTAAATCGGCCATATTGCTTGAAGTGGACTCTGCGGCATCAGCTGATTTTTTTGTTTCCACCAAAGCTTCTGTTGCTTTATCTATTGCTGTTTGTGCTTCTTCTAACTTTGTTGGCACTTCCGGATTAGTTCCGCTACTCTGTTTAGCTAGCTTTTCTGCATTTTGAACGATTTTTTTCGCATCATTAACTACACTGGATGTTTCATCTGCTAATTTGCGCACTTTTTCAGCATGTTTTTTCCCTTCATTGGCGATTTCTTTTTTGTCAGATTTCTCCTTCTCTTCCTTTTCCTTCTTTTCACGGGATTCAGTGTCTGCTTGGGCTTTCTGTAATTCCTTTAAAGCTGCAGTCAGATCTGATGCTGTCATATCTGCTTTCTTGGATGCTTCTGCAGCAAGAGCAGCAGTTCGTTTTGCCAACTTCTCAGTTTCGATAGCATACTCTGACAACTGATCCATTACATTAGCTGCCTTCCAAAGACGAACAGCTACTGCATCTGAATAAGAGATATAAGGCAACAATATACATATGCATGTAGAGTAGTTGGAGTGAAGTGGACTTTGAAATGATATGGGCTCTCCCTGGAAAAACGCAAAGCAGTGTGCATACATGAATTGTACCGCAGTCATTGTCTGAATGTTGATACACATTTGTATCTAATATAAACAGGATATTGATCTTGATGACCAATATGCAAACAAATATGCAGATGGTTTTGCAAAAGGTGACAACAACATATTTAGCGTTGAGTGTTAACATCTAAGTTGTTACTCTTCTTTACAATTTAACATGTTAGTGTAGCGCACTAATTATGACATTTCAGAAACGTTTTACATGCATAAGATGACCCAATAAGATGACCCACATTGATATTTGTTCGTTTTTTTACTTATGTCGCAACTCAGTATAACATTGGACAGTTGCCAAACTTGTTCATACCAGTGTGTATAATTTAAATATGCTAATTGTAAGTGGTTCATTAACCTTTAATGCATGTGTTGTGGTAGAAGCCAAAGATAGTAATTTTTATATTGCATTTAGTAAAATATCAAATCCTACTAGTCAGATAGTGTTTTTATTTGTGTGTGGAGATCGAATAAAACGTATTCAAATAGCCAATGTAATCGATATTCCCATTTTTAAACATTACGCGCAAACAAGCACGTATACAGGACAGGATAGTAGGTGTGTCAGACACAAACATTTAATCTTCAGGGCTACTTACATAAAATTGAGAACGGTCACGCAACTCAATGTAAGTAAATACGCCTCAGAACGAGGACTATGTCTACAACAAACAAACAATCACCTTCACATACCTTCACTAGTAACATGGGATTAAATTTCTAATCGAACTGGGACATCTGTCAATTTACTGTGACCGATGGCCGTTTTATTTAGGGGTACATAAACTCAACTCAACAAAACTCATCTCAGCTCTACGTAACTAATCTCAACAAAACTCAATCTAGATTAACTCAATTGAGCTCAACTCAACTAAGCTCAACAGAACTGCAACTCAACACAGCTTAGCGCATATCAGCCAAGCTTAAATCAACTTAGTTCTCAACTCTGTTCAATTCAGCACAAATTGACTCAACTCAGCTATTGATAGCGACGTACAATTAGGAGTTTACATTATGTGGTATTGACTCACTTTTATCGATCTTGACCCAAGGCGGTACTACTTTTATTCGACTGCGTATAACCTCAACGGTGTCCTGAAGCGTCTGTGGTAACATCAACATGCCTTCCGACAGCGAGGAACAAATGTAATTGGCAACATCCAAAACCAAACGGATATCGTCGATAGTTTTCTGCAAGTTTTCATCATCATATTTACTTATCTCACAGGTTTCGATAACTTCCTTCTCCTCCCTCAGTGAGTCCCTATATTGAGACATCTTTCCCTTGCATCCGATGTTATCCCGTTGCCCGGCATTTTCGTCGACTAAGTCTGCTGCCTTAGTTGGCATTCTCGAAATATCTATTTTAATAAAATGAATGTATATAGAATCAGTGTATATTTCCTCTTATCATAGCAGACATTACTGAATAATTCGCCTTCTAAGCCTCGTTTTCGAGACTCCTGACAAAGGGCGCTTATGATTCGCTATTGAAATGTTCCATCAATGCGAAAATGAGGCTTGGGGCGCGAATCGTCAGCAATGACCGCCGCCGATAAGAACGAATTGAGAGTCAGTGTATTTCCCGGTGGAGGTGTGCAGCCTCATTTCACGGATTTACTGGGTATGTGTGCCGACCCCACTCAATAGAGACATATCAACCATTATGTTTACAGTTTTATGATCTAGTAACAACTTGCTTCTATTTCAAATCATGTTGACATACCTAAATCACCTGGTAACCGAACAAACACCAACCTTAATATATGGGCCGCGTTTGCCGCTTTTATTGGATACCGCCTATATGCGAGAATGTACATCCAACCCCCGGGCAGCATCTGACCAATCATATCATATTTGTTTATGTTGTCAAATGACACGTAAGCAATAACAGTTTGCATGTAAGCCATCATAGCATTAGAACAATGAAATAATAACGCGTATGTGTTAGTGCGAACAGACGGCGGCATTTCGATATACTTGTGTTTGTTTTTACCGCAGTGATCTTATGCACTTAAATATTGGCTGTTTTATACATTCCGTGAATTGTTGGGGCGAGGTTAGACCCGATTGCTTGTACGAGTAAATAAAGATATGTATCCGTATCGTATGTATTCTATGTAGTCAACGAGGCTGGCCAAAGGTCACTCGGGGACAGTCACTCCATTCTTCACTGTACACTGGCACCTGTTTCTGCTGCTATGCCGTTTTATTAACCACTTTGAGCATTAATCAAGCATGCTTCAAAATCTACATGAAATGTACAATCTACTTTCCAAATAAATAAATAAATACATACATAAAATAAAGGGTCAAATTTACTTAGAAGCGAACTCATTTTCTAATTCCCAGTCACCGTAATTCAAGTTCCCTCACCTGTTACTCTGTAGACGATATAAGTTCAATGCATTCGTTGACTCCCTTTACCCGTCACATAGGTTAGCACTGTAGTTTTAAAGCAGAAATAGTCTATAACAAGTCAAACTTCGGTCAAAAATGAAGCATGAATTAAAACAAACTTACCAGTAAAGAATACTTTTCTATAGAAACTTCAAACTGGCTGTTATTATTCAAGCAAGACTATCGTCATAGCAATGTTGTATCCAGTTACGTACAGTGAGACGAGCGGTTGAAGATTGGTTGCCAAAACAAACCCATCGCCTGGTGGAGATCGAGGTCCGTGATAAGCCGGTGTGTTGGTGATTTACGTGCGTACTAATAGGGACGCCTGCCAATGTTGTCGTGATTACACGCCCCTAGATTAGGGATCTGCATATGCTCTCATTGAGACTTGAGTGACGTTTGACACCCGAACCAGAGAATGGCGAATAAGTTACTTTCTGTTACAGTTCATTATTTTTGCTGTGGGCGGGGCGCTGCGTTGAAACACGCGGCTCAGTCTGTGCCCCGTGACCGCACTATTTCTCAAGCACCGAGGGTAGTTAACCATCAAAAAAAAAAATACGTGTTGTGCCTCCAGCTACCAGTTACGGCTGACTATACTCTTATGGAAATTTATACTGCTGCTTCCGATATGGGTCAGCGCACTAACGCGGCTAATGGCCCCCCAATGCAGATAAACATGATTTCGACATGTTCTGCTGATGCCTCGGGCAAGTTTTGCTACTTAGACAGAACAAGAAAAGATCTGGTTGGGGATTATAATAAACTACAACGTTTGTTGTTACTCTGGTCCAGTTCGTGCGACTTGTTTACCGATGGTTTATTCGGGGTAGAACACAGTCACTCGGCGAGAATATGGAGTAAATGTGCAAGTCGTCTATCAGCTTTCGATTCTAAAACATCAAAAATGGCAACTTGGAGTGTAATAGGCAGAAAACACAGTGACAATGTGGGATAATAAATTTTCTACAACTATAAACATATCTGCAGAAAATATGCTGACCGTTTTCCTGTAATAATGACATGTCGCATAGTGAAGTCATATGATACCATTTTGAAACTACGTGACCGAGTGGTATTGCGTTTTATCTTGAAGTGTCATTGCAGGACACGTTTTATTCACCCAACTTAACCAATTTTAAACCGTTTCGAGTTTCCTTAAACTTTTCACTCTACCGTCAATTACTAGTAACACGTTCAATTCGAACCCACATTATGTATACATTACCATCCATAAACTGACTTTGCGGTTTGGAAAATTGTCTTCAAAGCTGCAACAATAATTGCAATAAAAATACTGATAAAAATAGAATTTGAAAAAACAAACTATGTTTATATTTTAAAAAATGTTTTGATTCAATACTGTCTTTGGGGTGTGCAGTATTGAGTTTATTTCTAAGTATATGGGTACAATACCCTCATAAAAAAATAAGCAGTTATTGTAATAAAATACATAATATCAATACACTGAAATGGAGTTGGACCTGCTAAAAGTTTGGAAATCAAACTAAAGTATTTATTTCAGGAAAAACAAAAAAATAAGTCCAGACTTTGCCAGTATAGCTTCGCTGGAGCAAGACATACATACACATTGATATTTACTGTGACGCAAATCTCATATGTTGTAAAAAATACCAATAGTTTTGTGGACGTCTGATTTTTGTATTGCCGACGAGACACATAACGGCAAATAGTATACAATCTGCCTCGTTGTGGCGGTTTGTACGCGCACGGAGCGAAATAAAGATATTGATAATACGGCAGTTTCTGAGGTTTTTAGAATATTTGACGGCCCTGGAAATGGCTGTTTGGTTTGAATTTATCATTCTTGAAAGAAACACATCGGTCAGTACCACCATGACGATACATATAAGTTTCACTTAAAAAAACTGGAAGTCACGTTAGTACTTGCATAATTTTATTCTGGGAGAAAACACCCAGCAGAAGAGCAACGGCGTGTGTTCCAGAAATGTTATTTGTTGGAAATATACGAAACAGACTAACTTATTACGGTGGCCCACGGCGACAATCATCGATATGTAACCAACTTCCGCGCCGAGTCAGCAACTTCCGCGATATTTGAGCAAGTTTCTCGCCGACTTAACAACTTCCGCGATATGTAAGCAAGTTTCTCGCCGACTTAGCAACTTCCGTGATATCATGTAAGCAAGTTTCTCGCCAATTTCCGCGCCGACTCGGCAACTTTCGCAATACGGAATAGTGTTCCACAACCGAGCGCCAGCAAAACAAACCCATGAAACTGCTTTCAATAGATCATGGAAGGTACTAACGTTAGTGGCTTTCTTGGGCGTTGAGCAAAGCGTGCAAATAAGTCATTTCAAAACAGATAATAGTGTAGCATAATGTGTTAGCACACATAATACTGTGTACCAAGCAAACAACTGGGCGGGCCATGCAAATTACATTTCCCACGATGCACTGGTGCAATGAATTGTTCAGTGCTACGTTATTTTACTCCAACGGAGTTTTCTCACCAGTTACATCTGACCAGCTATGCGTCATTGGCGCAATGTTAATTTAAGTTATATTTTGATGGAGACTTCTTCCAGGGCTTAGACGGAACAATCCCACAAACCTTTTATTATAGTAGAAAGATAGAACTTTTATTGTGAAGATGTTGTACTTATGTCTGCTCCAAGGTTTTCTCAAAACCAAACCTACCATATGATTGGCGCATTGCTGGTACACGTCATCATATGTCAACCACTGTGAATGTCCGATAACAAATCCAAAATGGCGATCTGCTGATCCAAAATGGCGATCTGCTGATTCAAAATGGCGATCTGCTGTTTTTTAACAGGAGCACATATATGTGTATATGCATGCATGCAATTAATCAGTGGTCCAATGGACGATTATATCACTTCTCTCGGCAATCAGTAATCCATTTCACTAGCTATGTGCTGTATATTCGCCGTATTGCGCATTTTAGTTCGGTCGATTACGTGGTTTTGTAGAAAGTGTACGCACCTAATTCCACAATTTAATGATGTTTTCACACAAAGGATAACAACCGTCGTGGCGTAGCATTTTTAATTGTTTTTCAAAACAAAATGCGTCGTTTTCTATGTAGACATCCTCACCATCCTTTGATATGGTGTAGACACCATATTAAAAAAAATGTCATCAGGGTGATAGAGGGCGTATTTTTTATCATGGTTGGCAATCAGCGACGTGCGAATTCCTCATAATCGGTTTCTTGGTAACATAAATCCCTAACTCGTTATTTAGTTATTTATTTAGTTATTTATTTCACATTACCCGTCGACATCAAATAAATGTGAAAGTACACCAGAAATCTAAAAATAAAAAAAAAGTATACACAATCATGCCAAGTAGAAAATTAGAAATCACTCACCATCAAACATCTTGAAAAAATCACGTAAAAGAAGTTTAACACTAATGGGCAGAGAGTTTCACAATCCAACACCACGATAACAAAACCATCCTTGACCGTGACCATTACTAGAAGTGAATTAGAAGTTTTAAATTTGTGGTCGCACATGGATGATGCTTGTGATTCGTGAACATGATTCGAGTTAGTGAATTTGCTAATTATTATAAATAATCAAATATCGTTATCCCTTATATTCTATTAATTTATATCTGATTTCTGAGCGGGTCATCGGCTAGACTTGCTTGCAGTCTGGCCGGTAATGTGAGGGCGCTTACTAGTAGACTGATAGCAAGTCTGTTGGGATTTCATGATTACAGGACTTTCGCGTTCACCCCTCGCTCAGTTTACGCAATTTATATTTATTTTTAAGACTTTTTCATCGGAATTGCAACAGGCTTCGTGTCGGAAGATGTTTCACAAAAATGTAAAAAAGTAAAAAACCAAGACAATTTACCAAGATGATATACAACTTGTTACCTTCAAGACTTAAAACAATGGCAGGTGCCAGTGGCGGATCCAGAGGGGG